TAATAAAATTTTACTTATTTCAAATTTTATATTTTCGTGAAATTTCAATATTAGATTGGAATCTCATAAGACTTCCAATATTTTCCGATTGATTCTAAACATAGTTTTACTTCATTTCTAGTAAAAACCCATCTGTTAGAACTCAATACTCAAATTTCATATAATATTTCTTAACATTATTCACTTTTAAAATTACATAACACGATAATTAAACGTGTATGTTACAATTCTTCAGTTCCAACTCCATTTAGGCTCCAAATATGTGTCCAACTAGTCCCAAAGTACCGCTCCACTCGAAATATCTGAAACTGACATAAAAATGCTAGTAGTACGGCAATTTTGATAAAAGATATGACATGAAAACGAACAAATTATGATGCTAAATGCTAATAAAAACTAACCTAAAAGATGAATAAGATGGCATCTATCAGTGACTCGAAGTCAGGGCAGCGCTTCACCTTAACACTTTTCCAGAAGACCTGGATGTCTATAACGCTAAGTCTTAGTCTAATTTCATGATTCATGAACTATTATCCTAATGGTTTAGATTCCTTAGTGATGCCAATATATATATTAAGTGTTCTATTAAATAAGGATCAGTCATGTAGGAAAGTTGGGAGGCAGGACCATTTCGGCATATAACCTTTCTAAAATCCAACAACCAAGCCAACACGACCATTCTAGACACTTCTCCTGTAAGTAGATCAATCAGTATAACGAATTGGAATCACTGGTAAATCTTATTTATATGTTCATAATAACGACTTATGACTATAAATATAAGTTACACTAAAAATACTAGAGTGTAGTTTAACTTACACAGGTTCTTATGACAAAATTGCATTGGGCAAAGCTTCTACTCGCTAGCTACTACTACTTGAGGGATCGCAGGGCTTCGCCGAAGACTAAAACTAAGGGAAAATGGGCTAAAAGGCTAAAATGCTTGAGAGAGAAGGCTTGTATGGGTGTGAAGACTAAAGCATATACGGAGGCGAGTATTTATGGCCGAAAAAAGATATGTGTGTCGCTCGTATATGGAGCATACTGCGCACTCTGACCTCACTGGTTCCATTGGTCGCTTGCCACATGTTGCCTTGTCGTTCGCCTGCGTCATCACTTATAGAATATCACCACATATCGCATTTTTGTGGCGCCATGTGTCACGTCCACAACATGTTGCGTCGCCTTGGCTCTTGAAGGAGTGGGCGGCCAACGTCATCAACACGTGTATTTTCCTGAAATCTTTGGGCGGCCATAACTTTCGCATACGAGCTTCATTTTCGACGTTCTTTATATCCCCGGAATCCTATCGACGAGCTCTATAACTTTCATTAAGGTCTGAACATCTAATTATTTCTCTGACAAAAATTCATATTTAGACCAATTTAGATTGTCAAAGTTCGTGCGAAAATCATAACTTCTTCATACGAACTCCGTTCTTAACTATCTTTTTATCGATGGATTCATATTTACGAGATCTACAATTCTTGTTTAGATTGTTTTTACTAACAATCAACCGATTAGAATTTTGATTTCTGTGCCCGCATTGCTACGCCAAAACTTCGAAAAATCATAACTTCCTCTCATGAAGTCAGATTTGGACGTTATTTATGTGCACACTCTTGGTTTAACGACTACTATGACTTTCCATTAGATCACTTTGGATAGAAAGAATTTATCAAAAATTTATTTTTTACAATACGCAGAGTTATGTCGGTTTAATCACGAAACTTTGAAAAAACATAACTTCTTCATACGAAATCGGATTTCAGCATTCTTTATGTGTACGGAATCATTGTCGCATATACTACAACTTGGTTAAGATTATTTATCATAAATAATCTTTTATATACGACGCGGATTTTAATCATATTTATTTTATTATTAAATACTTATATAATTCACATAAAATATTGTATAAAACATATAAGCACAAAAATATATGAATAATCATTTCTTATTCATTCATATAAAGATTACAATAGTTGACCAAAATGATTACAAACTATGACTAATCTAACAGGAAACATTGGCGTTAAATAGAAAAATGTGAAATAAAGTAGGCTTCTATGAGCATGATGGAGCCAACTTTATAGCAGTAGTTATGTACATATAATAGTAAGTGTAAAAGTGGTATGCAGGAAATATTATATGGGGCCTCTATTTATAGGGAAAAAGGGACAAAATAAGGGAAATGGATGTGAACTTTAGAATATCGAGTATATCCTTCTATGTCCATGTCAAGAAACGGAGTCATTAGGGAAGGAGCTCTAAATCATAGGTATGTATCTATGGTATAACCTTCTATGTCCATGTCAAGTGAATAGAGTCATTAGGGAAGGAGCTCTAAATCACAGGTATGTATCTATGGTATAACCTTCTATGTCCATGTCAAGTGACTGGAATCATTAGGGAAGGAGCTCATAATAATAGGTATGTATCTATGGTATATCAACAAGCCACTGGTCTAATGTAGTTGGTTTATATATGACTAGCTGCACCAGACTGATTCAAACAAGTGTCCAAAAATATACATCCACTAAAGGGACGAGTTAGAGGACACGTAAACACATAAAGCCAGATGGTTGAACTGTAATTCATCCTATCCAGAAACAAACAAAACAAATCTGTGTAGAAAATTGCAAGATGGTAACGATAGATAATTCTTGCATGGAGAATCACCTTTATCATGTTGAAATACACACCCGACAACAAATTGCTTTATCCCACCAGCTATTAAGCATGTACTTTCCATTTTTAATCCTAAAATATAAAAAAGGCACCTCGTGAACATTATAAACATGCGAGTGCAGTCTGTCAATAAGGGACACAATTTCTCAACTATCTCTATCTTAAACTCTCTACATTAAACCCAAAACAACAATACACTAACTTGATTTTTTTAAAGGGTATTCTCATTTTTACAGGCTCCCTCGGTGAAGATTCACCATTTGGTGAAATATTCGATCTGCTGTCAAATGACGTTTGCGAGCCTTTCTCCTAGACACCCCTACTTGAAGCTAGTAGAAGCCTTTTGGATTTGAACTTGGGGCCCCCTTATGAAGAGCCACTGCCCTAACTAGGTGAGCCATTAGGTGATGGTTTATACACTAACTTTGATTATTTGAGCGTATTCTTGGGACCTCCTCTCATGGTACACATGATTATTTCTTTCCTTTATGTGACCATGCTCTCCAAGTTCATTGTTCAACGCTCACCTGTGTCAGTCTGAAGTTTTTTTGATCACAGAGGACATACAATCTTTCTAAAAATTAAAAATCTTGTAATATAATTCAAGATATCAATTCAACATTTAGTCCTTGAGCATCATTTCTATTAGTATGATATGTTATTAATTATTACTTTTCCTATATTAAGCTATCAAGAATGGGGGATGGCGTTTTCCGACCTAGCCACCTTTCACCTCACCGTCATGTCAACCACGCCTACCACCACCATCGGGGTGGTCTTGACACACAAAAGAAGAGAGAGAGAGAGAGAGAGAGAGAGAGAGAGAGAGAGAGACGTCTTCGAGCGTGACCCGGATGACACACCTTCACCATAACGCCGGGCAGCGCCAAGTACGGGGTAGTGTTCACGTGGACAACGCCCGACAACGGTTGAATAATGCCTCCACTCCCGATAGCCTTATGACAAGAATGTTATATTAAAAACAATCTTTCCATGTTATTCAAAGTTTCTAAACAAATTTATCAAATATTATGAAAATAATTCATATTTAAAGTACACTTTACATAATCAAGATTTGTTCTATTTAGAAGGGGGACTTGAAGTCTTGAATGCTAGAAAAACACGTGCACTAAGTGTGACTAAACTCTTACCAAACCAAGAGAAAATTTATTAAAAAAAAAAAAAAAAAAAAAAGGAAGATGATAAGAAATTTTTCTTAAGGCACACGCACGCATGAAAGCGTCTATTTTTTCAGTTTTCACTTTTCACGTGGTGTCGCATTTGTTTAGATAGTTAAAACTTAAAACTGGTTCACAATAATCCAAAAAAGAAACATAAATTGGATTTTAGTTTATTTAAGATCACCCTCAAAATATCATCCATGATCTTAAAGGTCATATTCTTGTTTTCGGCCATATTCCCGGTCTAAATTCGACTTAGAAAATAAAATGTATTAATTACCAAGAAGAGTACAATCTACACGTCTTCATTGTATCATATAATGTTGTCAAATGTTAATATGTTACACTAATCAATTAAATTATGAATTATGTAATATGTTACAAGTACATCAATAAAGTCGTGAATGTTACAATATAACAATGATACATCAAACAATCAACTTCCCTTTTGATGCTAATGCAATGGAGTAGATAGAGGATGAAAACAACAATTCCTTATTCAAGAAAACTCCACCATATTCCAATTTCAAGACTCATAATAAAACTTCCATATAAGTTAATCTTTAAACCTTGAATAGTTCATATCTATATATTTCTTGAATATGTGGTCTTTCTTTATAATCATTCAATAAAAATCTTGATTTAGAAGTCATAACCACCCATGAATGACAATTTAATAACGAAATGATTTGAAACTTCAAAGATTACTTAAACTAAACACTTCATTTACAAGTTACAAGAAAAATGAACCCAAATCATAACTTCAACTCAAACCTACTAATTTTTAACCTTTAAAGACTCAAATTTTTCAAGAGTACAAGCAATTTTTACTCAATTATGTGCCACCCTAAAAGTTTATGGACAATGTTACCCCTACCACACATACCCTTTGACCTAATGTTGACACGTGGCAAACACCCTTTTGGCCTGCCTAAAAGCTGCCTACATTTTTGCCACGCTGGCACATAGCCAACTCTACAAAGAGAGAGAGATGGATCACCTACGGACTTCCCACCCAACAGCTGCATACACCTTTCCAACAAGAGAAAACAAAGCTTTATTTCATACCTTATTTAAACCCCAAATATCTCACAAAGATTTCTCTTGTATTCATCAAAAATATCAAACATGACGTGGACCAGAGGCCATGTTCTTGGCCGGGGGTCCTCTGCCACCGTCTCCACCGCCACCTCCACCACCACCGGAGAGGTTTTTGCAGTCAAATCCGTTGTTTTATCACAGTCGGAGACTTTGCAAAGAGAACAAAAGTTTCTTTCCATTTTGAGTAGTCCTTATGTGGTAAACTACAAAGGGTACGACATTACTAGAGAAGAAAACAAGAAAATGTACAACTTACTAATGGAGTACATGCCAGGAGGTACTGTTATCGATGCAATAAAAGTACAGAATTGTGATCGTTTAAAATGAATTAGAGATATCGAACTACACAAGACATATTATTCAAGGTTTGGAGTACCTTCATTCGAATGGAGTAGTGCATTGTGATATCAAGGGTGCGAATTTGTTGGTTGATGAAAATGGAGTCAAAATTGCGGACTTTGGTTGCGCGAAGTGGGCTAGTGAAGGTGTGGCAGTTTGTGGGACGCCGGTGTTCATGGCACCTGAAGTGGCTCGAGGGGAAGAACAGGGGTTTGCAGCCGATATATGGGCTGTTGGATGTGTGGTGATTGAAATGGCCACAGGTGGTTTACCATGGACGAATGTTAGCGACCCTGTTTCAGTTCTTTACAAAATTGGATTTTCCGGTGAATCGCCGGAGATCCCAGGTGGTTTTTCATATCAAGCGAAGGATTTTATCAGCAAATGTTTGATACAGGATTCGAAGGAGAGGTGGGGAGCGACGGAGCTTCTCAAACACCCGTTTCTCGAACAATTAAAGCGTCACACAAAGGAAATTACGGATCGCGATTTGCGAACAGGTTCACCAACCAGTATACTTGATCGAGACGTCTGGAATTCAATGGAGGAGCCGGCATTAGTGGGTAGTGATTTTATCCGGCAATCGTGTTCGTCGTGCTCTTTGCGGCAAAGGATCGAACAGCTGGCGGGGAACTCAGAAAAGGTAAAGTGGACATTGAAGGTGGAGGAGGAGATTGATTGGATGACAATCAGAAGCAACGAAAGTAGTGGGCGGTGGCGGCGATGATACGGTAGTTGATTGCACCATGAATGGTAGTGAGGTGTTCAAATAATCATTGGCTTAGAAGTATTGTAGAAGAAGTAGGCAGAGGATAGTGTGGCTTGATCCATTTTAGAGAATATGATTTGTAGTTTTATGTTTGTGGTTTGATAATATAATTTTTACTTTTTGTGATAATTGTATTATCTAACATATTTAATGCACATAAACCAATATTCTATAAGAAATGTAAAATAATATGATACATTAAAATTCAATTATAAAAAGATAAATAAAATTGTACATTAAAAAAATAATGAACTTAATATTCGGATATAATTTAAATACATAAATAGAATTATACTTAATCATTAAGTATTAGAATGAAGTATTAATATTCTTTTTAAGAGAATTTAAATATCTTCTTACTTTTTATTTTTATCAATCTTTTTATTCATCAGACCTTTCAGTATGTCATATACCGTACACCACGGTATGTGACATGTTATCGCAGTATGCGGTGAACACCATAACGACCCCCATATGAATAGTGCAGTATAGTTACCGTGCAAGGAAGGTATAACTCTTTTTTGAGTAAATTACACGATTCGTCCCTCGTTCAAGTGTTAAATTGCTCGTTTAGTCCCTATTTTTAAAAATTAACTCTGTCAGTCCCTTATATCATTAAAAATTGCACGTTTCGTCCCTTAAATCACTTACCATACGTAAAATGTCTATTTTGCCCTTATTCTTTTATTTTTGATTTATTTTTAGATTGTTATTATTATTAATGATAGTTTTAAAGAAATCATTAAATAATTGGACCCCACCTTCATATATCATTCTCCTTCCTCTTTTCTTTCATGAACCACCACCCCACCACCCACCTGCATCACCGCCGGTGCTCCACCACCTCCACATCGACACTGCTCTGCACCCAATAAAGACACCATATGGCGTTGTCTCCCTCTTTCTTACCCACTCCCGACAAGAATCCAAAACCCTAGCTAACCAACGCTGACGTCGGCCTTCCTCTCATGCCTCCTTCACCCCATAACATCAGTGATACCACCTCCGACCTCCTTCACCTATATCATCACTGAACACCGCCTCAGATCGGCATGTAATCGTCGCCTCCAAGCCTTTGTACGCTAGGGTTTTGTCACATTTGCGCCGCCATCTCCGTCGGCTAGGGTTTGGATCTCACCAGCAGTGGATCTGTTGAAACCACGTGAAATAACCGGCTATCTCCACCGGATTTGTGGGGTTACCACCAGATATGTTGGGTTACCACCGGATACGTTGGGTTGTACATTAGCAAAGATGAATTTAGGTGAAGAAGATGAAGCCACCTCCGACAACCACCGCCTGGAGTGTAGATTTGCGAACAGGTGGCGATGGCGGGTTGGTGATGGCAACATTTTCCGTCTCTCTTGCTCTCTCTTTATTTGTATTGCATCAGTAAACACAAATATGTGTGTGTTGTGTTCCTCTGCTCCACCTGGTGTTTCTACAGGACCTGCTGGTCGATGGTGGTTGCTTAAGGACTAACTGGGAAGAAGAACGAGGGAAGAAGGGGTCATCAACGATATTTCTGAGAGAAAAAGAGGTGGTGGTCCGTCGGTGTTGTGCGGTGGTCCGGCGGTGTTCCACGGTGGTCCGATGCTGTTGTGCGGTGGTCTGGCGGTAGAAGATGAGCTCATGACGATAAACTGATGATAAATGATTGAAGGATGTGAGTGGGGTTAGTGTAGATGATAAGTGTTTGTAGCGGTGGACCCTTTTTTGTTTTTCTTTATTTTTTTATTTTTCTTTTAAATTTTTAATATTAAACAAATCAAAAATATATCAAAAAAGAAAGAGAAAGGGTAAAATAGTCATTTTATGTTCGTCAGGGACGGTCCGAGTGAGAAAAAAACATTATAAGGACGGTTCGAGTTAGTTTTTGAAAATAGGGACTAAACGAGCAATTTGACACTTGGACGAGGGACGAATCGTGTAATTTACTCCTCTTTTTTCTCTTTTGAATGTTGTTTTCCGACCATTGGCTTCAAACAATTACTTTTTACTTTTATTTTTTTTTGTTTAAAATTTACTATAAATTAACACTCTGATTTTTCATTTTAAAACACAAAACAAACACCAAACACTCTATATAGTTTACATTAATTTTATTTGAAAATGTCTTCATCATCATCCACTTCGTCAGATACTTTGGCGTTGCGGGAAGCGATGTTTATCGGAGATGTCATGCGAAGAACACTTGCTTATTTACAAGAAAATGAAGGCGAAAGTTTGCGCCCAAAAATTAGAAATCCCCATTAATGGAGAAATCGTGAAGTCAGACACAACAAACTTGTAAATGACTACTTTGCCGATGATGCAGTGTATGCGGAAAAATTCAGACGTCAGTTCCGGATGAGAAAGATATTTTTTTTATGCATTGTTGATGTTATAAAAAACCGATTTCCATATTTTTAGCAGTAGATGGATGGAAGAGGTAAGAAAGGTGTCTCCACAATTCAAAAATATACAAATGTAATTCGTCAACTAGCATTCAACATGAGATCAGACTTATGAGATGAGTATTTGAGGATGTCAGAGCGAACGACGTGAGAATGTGTATACAAGTTTCCTAAAGTTGTGATTATCCTTTATCGTGGTCGCTATTTACGTACGCCTACAATTAGCGACATCCACCAACTACGTACAACACATGAAAACAAGCATGAGTTCCATAGAATGTTTGGTAGTATTGATTGTATGCATTGGGGGTGATCAATGTGTCTTGATGTGTGGTGTGGTCGGTTTATGCAAGGTGATCAAAACAACCGACAATAATTTTAGAAGCAGTGGTGTCGTATGACCTTTGGAACATACATTTTTTGGTCCATTGGGTTCCAACAACGACATAAATGTTCTACACCAATTGACGATATTGAATGATATCGACCTTGGGAAATCGTATGATGTCCCGTTTCGAGCAAATTAGACATCATACAAGCGTGAGTATTACCTTACTGATGAGATATATCCCAAGTTAGTTGTATTTGTGAAATCATTCTCATGTCCAAATAATGAAAAGAGAATAAAGTTTAAGTCGGCACAAGAATCTGCTAGGAAGGATATCGAGCGAGCCTTTGGTGTTCTAAAGAGACATTGACAGATACTCGTAGTACCAACACGATCTATGGAGTGCAAACGAATAAGTAGCCTGATGTGCGCATGTATCATATTGCATAATATAATTATAGAAGATGAGGGGAAGACGATTTGACACTACAATGAAAATGATAATTTACCAAATGTCGTAGTAGTTGGTATTGGTACGCATTACATGAAGAACAGAGGGGAAGTATACGACCGAGTTCGACACCACAACCTTCGTGCTGATTTGATGGAACACATCTTCAATGCTCGAGTGAATCCTGTTGTTGATGATTTTGATGATAGTGAGTTGTTCGATGATACAGATGACAAATCAGAAATGGTTAAAGGAGATTCGAGAGAGGATTATGATGAGGTGGCGAGCAACGATTATTAGACATCACATACTATTCTATTATGTTTCATTTATGTTTTTTTTTTATGTTTTTAATCTCGTATGTATTCTATTTAGTTAATGAAGTATTTTCATTTTATTAGTTTTATATAATCACATATTATTCAATTAAAAAAAAATAAAAAATAAAAGTATGGTAAAGTTTGGTATGACACCCATCAGTTTTGTGGGGCGAGAGAAAAATTTTATGACAATGACGTGTCGGTGCAATAGTTTGGTATAATGTGGTATGAACTCATCAGTTTTAGATTAAAGTAAATGTCAAATTCAAACAATAAAATTTTAATATTTTTTTTGGGAACGGCGGTTGTGTCAATGAAAGCTCTTTCACATATTTCAGCAAAGGTTCCGAGATCGAATCATCTAATATGACGGACACGACCCCATATGGATTCCAGGGGGAAATTTCCCACATGAAAAACTATTAAAAATGTTTGACAGGGATCGAACTCCCCATCTCAATTCTCACATGGTTATAAAATCAGGTGTCTCTTCCCAGTAAGTAGATTCCACTTGCATTAGTAACAACATAAATAAGAGCAAAATATAAAAAGATATTTAATTTTTTTTTGTTTAAATCAATTTTATCTTTCATTTGAAACTTTTTCTAATGTTGTTTCAATTTTGTAAACACACGGATAAAACAGACCATCATTAAAATATAAAAAAAACATATCAGATTATCTGTGATATATTGTTAGGCTAGGCGGAGTGGAGTTCGGTGAGGCTTGACGAATCTAAGATGGACTTGACAAACACTGTGTTGCGAACTCGACATGCCGAGTTCGGCGGCCTAACTCGACAGGTGATTACAAGTCTCTCTCTCTCTCTCTCTCTCTCTCTCTCTCTCTCTCTCTCTCTCGGCATCCACTCCCTCCTATCTTCTTCCTTCCTTCTTTCCTTAGCCGAGGTGGAGCTCGGTGCAGTCGCCACCACTCCCTTAACCTTATGAGTACTTTCTTTCGATTCTTGCCGGATGTAAATACAGTTAAAAATTATGTAAGATATATTTGTGAGCTTATTACCTAGTCAACATGTAGAAATAGACATAATATTCTTTGTATGTTATCTTCTTATATACTTAATTTTGCCATTTTGAAATTCTTTATAGCGTGTAGACCTCATTTTTTTCTTCAAAGATTGTGTATTTTCTATTATGATTTTTCCTTATGAAAATATATATTCATTCACTTTAAAAAATATGCTCCACACAATTCAAATATTAGGGTATTATTTTGAAATATGGAGTAAATTACACGGTTTGTTCCTGGTTCAATGGGTCAAATAGCGTGTTCAATTCTTATTTTTAAAAATTAACTTGGACCGTCCTTCTTTTGATAAAAAATTTACTCATATCATCCCTCGTTAGTTTGAATTTGCACGTTTTATCCCTTGTGAAACATGAAATGACTATTATTATTTTTTTTTTAAATTTTGATTTATTTTAATTTTTCTTACAATTTTT